CGCTCGCGGCCGCTTTGCAACCTCTGTCTTCGGTCGCGCTCCTCCGAGCATTCCCACAAATTGGGGTTGGAGCGGTTCATCTGCATCTTTCTGTCGGCGAGCAGACGTCGCGTGTCGGGCGCGCGGTACAGATACGCGTCCGCGGCCGATGAGCTTTTGTTTCGCTTCACTTTGGACGCCTTGCTGCAGCCGATGTAGTCGGGCGTGGCGCTCCTCTGCGCGACCGGCTGTTTGGTGTAGTTATGGTGGGGGCTGTTAGTGGCGAGTGCGTGATACTGTACTTTACCGAGAGAAAAGTGGCCGCAGTCCACTGCAGGTGCGATATAAAGGCAGCCGCATGTAACAAAATAGAAAGGTTCAAAGTACCACGTCGAGGCGCATCGTTTAGTCGGTAGTTAAGTTTATTTACAAGTATTAACAGCGCAAATGGAAAAAGAATATTGTAACCGACAACAAATGTTAGTAGCGATTACGTATAACATAAAGTTCGGCTAATCATCATCCGATCTCATCTGTTTCGAATAATACCAAACAAAATTAATAAAAAACACAAAAATTATGACTGAGATTAAAATTAACTGACTATTTTTGCTCGATATAATATATTACTCGCAACTCGTCTCTACGTAGTAGCTATAAAGTATCTACTTATATAAAAACTGGAAATAAAAGACAATGCGTGGTGATTTACACCACGACAGTGACTAGCTACTTTGTACTGTAACAAAATATAAAAATATCTTTTATCATTTGGCACAAATATCTATAACAATATCTATCAGATCTAGAAAGTATATAAGTTAGAAAGCATGCTCACATCATGCACTAGCGATAGATTTAAACCTCATGACACACCGCAGGCGAGCTTGTTAGTACCGATGTGCACACATACACAATACGCAAAGTGTACTTGTAATTACGACACATACTTTAAATATATTAATTTCAACATTCAAACACTAACCACAAATTTGTAACAACGATACATTATTATGAAGCGCTACTTTGTATTAATATAGTTATACATGTATATATAATTTTGTGAGAAACAGATCGTTCACTCTAATAACCAACTGATAATACGGTTTCTTGACTTCGCATGTCTTCTTCTTGTCGACTCGAATATCTCCAGGGGTATATTGGGTACTGCATAATAATTAAAGCTTTGTTAGTAGAAACCTTTTGTATAATGTTAAGCGAATATAAAAATATAAGATAAATAATATTGAAACATATTACAAATTTATTATATTTTAAAGTTATTAAGTCTTAACTTTTCGTCATCAGATAACTGTCTACAAAGATAAAAAAAAACGCATTCCATTCATCACTCCATGACTGAAATTAGTAAACGAGATTGTCTAAATTAATCAAAGAATTCCAAATGTAGGCGCCCTGTCGCAACGGCCCGAAGACATCACACCTAACAGATAACACCACAAAATGAAGGACGTCTAAACAAACGAGCACAATAACAATATCACAGAGTTAATGTTTAGGATTAAGGAGGTTAGTGTACTGACCGGAACTGACGGCGTTCCTACACCGGGCCGAGGTGCAGTAAGCCTCGATCACCTTCAGTATGAGAGCGTCCTCCTCATAGGAGTTGGATTTGCGCTGGTGCGGCGCGTACGGGTGTGTCGGTCCGATGTTCTCCTCAGAGCCCGCACTGAACGACTGCGGCCGCAGCGGAGGCGCGGGACGTAAGCATGTTATACTCCACCCTTACAAAATAACACAGAAATCATATTAAATCGTTGTCATCGTCATAGAAAGTATTTAAGTTTTTAGGCAAGATGGTAAACGGGTAAACTGATAATTTATTACCAATGTCCAATAAAGCGACATCATCTCCGGATTAGATTGAAACAGCACGGCTGAACAAATAGAGAACAACAAAATACTGGAATACTGGACATCCAGCATTCTTAGCTTGTTTGTTAGCGGTATTTGATTATTTCTAGTTAGAATATGTCGATTAGGTTTTTTTTTATTTAACGTTCGTTAACAATTACCTTTGTTTAAATGACAAGCGTCCGTAGTGTCAATAAAGTCGATCGAAGAATATTTCTTTCCAATAGGAGCTTTGTTAGATTTAGCAGGCGATTGGTCGAGAGAGTCGCAAGAGTTGAGTAGCCAGCGCGCGGATTGGTTCTTGTGCTTGCTCTTTTGCGTTTGTTGACTATGTTGTGTGTAGCTTTGGTGATTGTTGAATGAATGTGATCTTTTGTGACTGCTGAGACCCGAAGCCAACTCGTTACTGCTGTCGCTCATGGCCATCTGTCAATTTAAATAATCGTTACTACATCTTTATTGTCGATATAGATTTTACCACACGTTTTAATATACTCTCTAACAAAAAATTACTGCAATTAGACTGTGTTCATACAGCGATTTAAAGCATAGGGATAATACATAATGGCTTCTTGAATCCACGTACTTTTCATACTTCTAACTAGCTACTGTAATATTTTTTCAAACAGTTAGTCCTGTTGTAGTTCTACAGGTAAGAGATATCTCAAGGAAATCGACCAATATTTAAAATTACGTGGCCCCAGATCCATCGCATTCAATGTCTATTTGCAAACAGTTGGTATGACAACTGGTTAATGTGCAAATAGTATTTATTCACGCAACATTATGGGGTAAAACAGTATGTGGTCACAAGCTTTCCATGCATATCTTCGAGTTGTTAGTGTATGACATCTACTTGCAGTGATTTTCAGTTAGTAAGATGAATAAACACAGGCAAGGATGATCGAGTAAAGCACTTCAATATCGGGGGTACTCTAATGACAGCATTAATCTAGTTGTTACGGAACTTAAAACCAGTGATACACAAAACAGTATCTCTTTACAAAAAAATAATCCTTGCCTGAGTCGGTGACCACGGTAATGGGTAATTTGGCTTTCATCCACCAATGGGCGTATAAATCAGAACGGTACACGACGAAGCCGGTCTGAGCCTCGCTCAGCACTTTCTGAGACTTCAGCAGGTCCTCGCTGCGTGATCTAGTCTTCTTTGTGCTGTCGTCTTTCGATTGATTTTCTTTATTAAAAACATCACATTTGCGTAATATATTTTCCCGGGATGGTCTGCTGGATGTTTGCTGTTTTTGTTCCTCAGGTTTCTCCCTGTATATGCGCATATGATAATGCAAACTGGGCTTCGTACGTTCCGTTATATTCAACGTACTCCACTGGCAAGGAACAGGCTGCCTGACATTCTTTGGCATTTCAATGTGGGTGCTCGGTTTACGATATATCCTCGGCGGTACATCCGGTTTTATTTTTATTTCCGGTACGTATCTTTCGATGTTCCTTCTTATAGATGTACGTTTTATTTGAGATGTCGATACTGGAGGATTACCAGCAAATGTAGACGTGACAAATGTATTGGAAGAATCCATTACGTCTAAGCTAGTCTCAGATGTAACACTTGTGACACACGAGGTCCGCGCCGTGGAACCGAAAGGCGACGTACATCTACATTGATCTTCAAAAGCAGCGGCTTCAATTTCTGACAAAGTTAGCTTTCGGTGATTTGCATGGAAATTATGTTGTACGTTTGTCTTGCTTTGGCTATCGGAGTCATTACTGGTGCCACCTGCGCTTGTATATTCAGGCATGTTCAATTCCGGGGAGGCCAAATTGCAACTACCCGCAACACCCGAGTCGGACGATCGAGGGCTGGGGCAAAGTGATCTGTTACAGCATTCACATTTCTTAACAACTTTACGGGTTTCCGACTGAGAACTCATCCTTTGCATGTGAGGATCGTTTTTCTTTACATTTTCAGTTTCAACCATCGACCTAGATATGGACCGGCGAATTTTCTTGTCAGAGTTTAAAGAGTGTTTTCTGAAAGGCACATTTGTATTCAGATTTACACTTAAAACTTTCAAGTCTTCGTCGTTATTACGAAACATAGGGGGCGGATCTATAATGATCGAGCCGACTGGACTCACGCGATCATTTTTGGGCGATGGCGGTTCTAATTCCTGAAGTAAATTTGCCACTGCATTACCGTCATCAATATCGTCACGAGAATACCTTTCTTCTGTAGACTTCCATAACTTTTGAACATTTTCATTCTTAACGCTACGATTTGGAAAACTGCGTCTCGTTGGAATGAAATCTGACTCGTTGTTTGTCATAGTTTCAATTTGTCTATTCTGATCCATATTAACTAAATCTTCACAAGCCATGTACGACCTAACGTCAAAACTAGAATTTTCATTACTATGGGAATGTTGTAAAGCTGAATATGGGACATTTTCAAATCCTGGTGGAATTTGTAAACCGGTCGATGGTAAAGGTAAAAATATATTTTTTGTACAGTCACCTTTTACGAATGGCTGTTGAACATCTAAGTGCATATCTGTGGATGTATCAAAATACCGGACATATCCAAAATTACTTCCACAGCTACCACATGAAGATGAAATAGTTCTGGGACTGGGTGAGTCTAAAGCGTTTTGTCGCATTATTTTTGAGGAGTCATTCATTTCAGCATCAGTGCAACTGGAAGTTGATTGTGTTTCTGTTGTATCACTCTCCTCCCTATCACTATCATCTGAATTTCTATCACTATCGGAGCAATCAGTTTCTGTTCCAATAGTGCCATCATCTTCGATCCTCAATCTTATATGATTTTTATGTCTCCTTCTAACAGGTAATCCTGTTAATTCAAATGCCTTAGCCCAAGGTCTTTCATGCAATAATTTCCTTAACATTTGTCTTGTTATAACTTTTTTTTTAACTAAACGTGCAAAATATTTCGTTAGGGAATAGTACGGCGATGCGGAGGGATAGCTAGGCGGCGGCAATGTCACATGATAGAGACTGCGGCGACTAGTATTGATGCAAGATAATGCCCCTTCTGAAGGAGATCGGGTGAGCTATGTAAGAAATAAAATATATTGCAATATTCATAATCTATTACATAGACATAAAATAAGTAATTATTGCAAAATATAAGCTACTTACTTGTGGCAAAGACTGCGGTTGTCCTGGCTCGTGGGAAGGGCTGCTTGTATTAGAATGTTTCTGCAGCAAACTGACCCAGTTGTCGGCTTCAGCGCGGGTCTGACACACCGCTACTATCGTATCTATCATAGGACCACTTATCTCAAATGCATTTTTTCTTGTATCCGTATCATCGAGTTTACAGACTGTTATACCAGTCAATGGAAGACAACCCTAAAATAAAAATACTTTGTAGCAAATTAGTTTAAGTCCAGTTATTTCAACATTAATTCTAGTCACTGTTACAAAGTTATTTCTAGTTGAGCCAAGACCTTTGCCTTGTAGTTAAAAAAAAACATAGCTCGGAAATATCATTGACACAATTTATGGTCTTATATATTTAAAAGACACTAACATAATCTGGTGAAAACATACTATTTAACACAAAATATACCTCAACAATGGATGTAACTACAAAATACAATTTATGTAAACTTTACAAACCTCATATACAAATGCCGATACTCTTTTGCTAACTGAAAGTAGTAGTAAAGCTGATGGAAAGAGGACAAGGTATCTGTCCTGATGTGAGGGACCCACTGCAACACTTCCCATGTGCAGTACATCTCCCAGTGATGTCAGCTCACCACCCGGCCATCCACGGACTTCACCAGTCACTACTTGAAGCTCTAACTCCTTTTGACGCCGTAAAGCAGCACATCCACTCTAGAACCAGATTTATTGTACTAAGTCATAGAAAATCTGTAAAGTTTGCTTTATATTAGCTAACACCAGACTCTGTCCGCAAACAACTATTTAGTGCCCTGTGTTCTTCCACACTATGTTCTATGAGAAATTTCAGCAAGATCTACGTAGCTGTTATGGAGATACTTTCTAACAAGCATCCATCCATCTATCCAAACAGTAAAATTTATAATATAAGTATGAAGTAAGACTTTAAAGGAACAGATAATTTTAAATTCTATAGTTTATTTCTACAGCCGACTTACTGCAATATCTTTGTAGACTACAGATGCTCTATGTGTGTCCCCCCTATCTGGGTGAGCTTCATGAACATGCCTTGCCAACTCCTGCAGCATGGCCGGGTACTTCCCAAGGCGGCGGAAAGGTTTAGACAAGCCAGCTGTTAACACAAGCACTCCGGGACATACAGCACCTGCATTCTCCATCCATGTGTTTAAACCTTCCCTAAAAGTAATAATGAGTAATTTAAATCAGATAAAAGCAAATACCACATATAACAACAATAATAAATAAATTGTCATACAAATATTATTGTTACAATACACTAACAAAGGTAAGTCAAATATTTTTTAATACTTAAACTCAAACTTTTTAAGATTGTAAGCTAAATAGGCTATACCTACTTATATTTATCAAGTATGCACACAGCTTTAGGATGACCCGCACAATATGTCTGGTGAACAGCTTTGATCTTTGGCGCCCATTGCAGGAACAGTCCTCCCACCCTTTGGTCTGGTCCTGTTTTTGTTGCGCACTCTTCAAGCAGAACTAGGAATTGTTCATGAGTTTGCAAAACTTCATTTATGTTCCCTGTCAGCTGTTTGAACTCGTCTTTAGTTAGCCTATAAAAAACAACACAGTAAAGAAGTTATTTAATTTATTTCTCTCATAATTTAAATATACAACTTTTGCAAAAATTTTGGAGGATATTATGAAATACTAAGACATGTTAACTGAAAAAATATTTAGTTTCAGATGTAAAAGTAAAAAGTGAGTAAATCAAAGTTAAAACTTTACCTGTGAAATATCAAATATATTTTTTCTTAAATACTCACATTTCACTCTTCTCTAAAGGCTGTAAGAAGTTAGTGACAAGGCCTTGCATCTCAGCAACATGAGCTTTCTCCGAATCAATGATGTCTTTCAGAACAACATTTCTAAATGCTTGAATTTCTGATGCTGCCCTGATAGGAGATGTTGTTAGTGAACCTGATGGGTCTAAAATAAAATAAAAAATTTAGGAACCTCCTCTTTTTTGAAAGTGGCTAAAAGTCCATAAGAATACACATATATAATACAGTAAGTTCAACATCACTGATTACAAAATACATCCAAAATTAAAAATTACAAGCCTCATCATTATGGCATTCCTCAAGCGGGCAAAATAATTTGTAATTGTTTGGTAAGAGTTTAATATCAAAAGCTGAACTATCAAACCTTAAATCTGATTACCTATCAATGATCAATAAAAAATGATGCACAAAAAAGACTATGTTGAGACATGAAACTGTGATGTGTTATTATTCTATTTGTAAAATAGACAAATTAGATACCTTTATGCTCGGTAACATAATTACTGGGAAACCATCCTGTTGTTTCGCCAAGTGTGCCTTCCCACCAGCCACCTTCCTCTCTTTGTGTAACTGTGATAATGTCTCCTTTTTTGAAACATAGTTCATCATTGTTTTTTCCTTTAAAGGAATAGATTGCCTTAACCAGGCAGTTTTCAGTTGACATCATTTTTGTACTCCAATACCATGATTTCTGTAAACCTATAATAAAGTTTGCAAATCTTGTCAAATAGTCTTGAGACATTAAATAGAAAATAAATTTCCCTTTTGCACTTATACTATACAATATACACTATTTTAATGCACATACTTTTCATTAGTCATAGCAACCAATTTCTAGAAACTTAACATATACTAAAGAAAAAGAGGAAATGCATTCCATACCAGGGTAGACTATTGCGAAGAGTTAGGAAAAACTATTTGAATTAATGAGAAATGTAACAAAATAACGAAAATACGTATTTAACCATAATAGGCTACAAGTACATAGAGGACAGATGGGAATTTCAGTAAAATTTCTACGTACAAAAAGAATTATAATTATATCCGCTTCTCTCACGGTCTTCCAAAAATAAATATCACAGACTATGATAAAATTAATTTGACATCCCAACAAACGACATAAGACAGATGCAGAACGAAGATAGAAATTGATAGAAATACTACGAAGTAGTTACATACTTCTGGATAGAAATAGAAAGTTAGAATAGAGAACTTAATATTTACATGTATCGAGATCAAAAATATAACAACCCAGTCATGATTGTGAATAGAAAGTGCTAGAAAGCTATAGGCTAAGGTGAACATTTTGTCCTTTTTTACCTACCTAAGCTAGATATTGTTGACTCTGCGACTATGTAGCAGCTGGCTTAATTGTCAGATGTCACTGTCACGTAATATGTTTGGCAAATGACCACTTAAAAATATTAAAATAATGTAAAATAACAATATTTCTTAAATGATGAAGTAAAAGGAAGGTGTTATTGTAATATTTTCACAGCTCTAAGTATAATTTTGGGTTTATAGTCCTTAAGTTTTACCTAAGCCGTAATTTCACTTTAAGTATATTTATAATAGTCTTTGATGGATGTACTTTTGGTATAGCGAATTAGGTGCATCATTATAAATGGAAAGCTACAGTTTTAAAAGAAGGGCATCACATTGCTGCCATCCGATTGTTTTTGCTATAAGAAACAGTTGTCGAAATATGTGACGCTTCCTTATAAATTTAATAATGGACCAAAATCTTGAAGACACTTTATACCAAGCAATATTAATAGAAGATCAGGATGCTATTATTCATCTTATTGCTCGAGGTATCTTAATTTACACACTTATGCATGCAACTTATTTATTTAAATAAATAGAAAATGTATTTGTTACAATCGCGTTTTTTCCTGCCAGGGGCAAATCCAAATAAAGTAACAAGACATGGAAAAACTTGCCTAGGAGAGTCTGCTAAACTTGGCAGTATTAGCATTGTTAAGCTGCTTATTGATGCTACACTGGTTAATAAAACAACATCTCAAGAAAGTATATCAAAGAAGCGTAATATTAAATGTCACAAGAGAAAACTCAAATCCACCAGTCAATACAGTGAAACGATAGTTAAATACAAAAATTACAATGATCGAACATACAGGGAGTGTCAAGTAGAAAAATCTGTTGAAATTGATTCAGAAAATCAAGAGTGTTCAAAATTTGATAAAAATAGAGGCTACTTTGTTTTCATACATAGCGATGGTTCTAGTAGTGATGAAAGTAGGATCAGTCTTAGATCACCAGTCACACCACCAGCTTTGCCGCTATCTCCTCAGATTGACCTGGAGTGGGATGAAGATATTGGAAATGTTGCACCAACCACCACTGAGGATGAAACATGGTCTTCAATGTACAAGTAAATTTCAAATTACATACTTTTATACCATAAATATACATTTAGAACAATTACAAAAGTAAACAAAGGTGGACTAAGAAAAAACTCATTTCTCATTTTTGCCTGCACTGGATTTTCTGTGATTTTCAATTTCCACATGTATACAAACACTATTGGGTCTTACAGTTACATTTATAAATGTGTTGATGTGTTGATGTGTTTGTATTTCGTTTTGCAGATGGTATGCTGCTATATTGGAGTGTACCGGTGCAGCTTTAGCTTCTGCATCAGTGGTAACAAATGGTATTGATCAACAAGATGCATTTATGAGAACAGCTTTACATTATGCTGTAGAACAGGGCAATGTTGCTATAGTAAAGTTATTTATAGATGCAGGTAAGTGAAGATTATCCTCCAGTTATGGAACTGTTGTCTGGGTGATATTATTTTTATTTTATTTACTATGTCACATCCATTTAAATAGTATTTTATGTGTATATTTGTAATAATTACACAAGTGGATTAAAAGAGAGAAATATTTGGGATATATGGATGTACTTGATTATATAGGCCTCATGCCTCTATTATGACATTAATAAATCTTATATAAATTGGCAAAAATAAATTATATTCTCCTAAATCTGTCTGATAACTTTTGTTCATGCATTTTTTAATGTATTTTTAGGGTGTAAAGTTGAAATTACTGCCAGTGATGGTTTAACACCATTGCATATAGCTGTTATGAAGAATCAACCAGAAATCACTAAATTGTTACTAGGAGCTGGAAGTAATGTTAACTATAAGACACATGAAAAGATGACACCGTTACATTTTGCAGCGTCTCGAGGGTTCATTGAACTGGTACTTTGATTTTCACTTTGTCACCTTAGATATATACATAATGGATATATTTTTTATGTAGATATAACAAATGATGGTAAGTTCTACACCAACTTTAATATTCAGTGTTAAGTTACACCTAAAGCAGTAATATTTTTAAGTTAGTTTATAATGCAGTTAAACCTAGATACTCGAGAGTCCAAGGGACCCAGGTTTCTTGTGTTTCTAGGTTTTGACTGTAATTCAATTAAAAAATTCAAAGTAATTAAGTAACATATTGTCTTGTTGCAGGTACAGATATTGGTGGCTAATGGAGCTTATATTGAGGCGAGAGACACGAATGATCGGACAGCATTATATTTAGCATCAGGACGAGGTCATGCAGATGTTGTGGCATTCCTTGCATCAATGGGATCAAATGTTAATGGGGAAGAAATACATGGTAAATATTACCATTAACAATAATGTAATGGATATTAAGACATAAACATATAATTATCAATATTTGTTAGTTCAATGTTTTTTTTATATTATAAGATGGCAAACGAGCAAGCCGCCACCTTATTCGCCCAAATGGCGAAGCAACCGCAGACCATAGACATCATCAATTGCAGATGTGTTGCCTTACTGTAATCAACATAAGAGGGGACGCACAGAAGGAGAATACTTCTCCTTATACATCACTTCCTCTGTCAAATCTTTCCTTCCCATCTTATCCTCATAAGAAAAGCGTGGGAAGAGAAGGGGGACTAATTTTAAGTCTCCAAAGAAATGACATATGTGCATCTTCAGTCATACATTTCAGGTTATACACCATTATGTGAAGCTGTTTGGCAGAGATATACTGACGTTGTTGAAGTATTATTAAAAGCTGGTGCTCGAATAACTCATTGCCATAAATTATTGCACAATGCTATCATACAGCGTCAGGTATTATTCTTTAAAGTAAATAAAAAATGAGTAAATTGGAAATTTAATGTTCTAATTTAAGAACTATTTACAGGAGGAAATTGTGAGAATGTTATCTAACTTAGGAGGAGGGATAAACTTGCATAATGACAATGGAGATACGCCTTTACTGTTAGCAGTACGTCTATCACAGCCAAACATAGCATATTTATTACTACGAAAAGGTAACTAAACACCGAAAAATTGATTTAATAATTGTGTGAAACGATAATGCTACTTTTTATATTTTATTTATTTTCAGGAGCGAATGTTAACGGTACTAATAGTATAACAGGTGCAAATGCACTTCATATAGCGGTTGAAAATATCGAGAATTCTAAAGATTTCGAAGATATGCTTGTGTGTTTGACAGAACACAATATTGATATGAATGCAACAGCACTAACAGGCGACACTGCACTCAACAGAGCTTTACTTTTACAAAAGTATGATTATAATTACAGACCTATACAGCCTTTTTTCAAATTTCTTTGAAAAAATCAATTTATGAAATTCATTTTTGTTATTCCAGAGATTTTGCCGCTGTGTTGCTTATAAGATATGGAGCTGGTGTTAATGCTTGCGATCTTCACTCATGTGGTTTGGACAATTTATCTATAGCTAGTAGAAGAAAATCATACCGGTTAGCCTCAATGTTAATAAAAGCTGGACATCACATGACTGCACCGGAGTCGGGCTCAGTGAACAATCCTAAATCAGGGAATACAGCTAAATGGGTATTAAATGCATGCAAAGAACCGTTGTGCCTCTCTGATATTTGTAGGATAAAAATCCGACGATTATGTCGTAATTCGAATTTACGTGCTTTTGTCTCTGGACTACCATTACCAAAGAGTTTAAAAAGGTTCCTTATGATGGAAGATGAATGTGCACATATATTAAGTCATGTTTAACTTAGTTAAGTGATAGAAAGAAACTTGGTAAGGTATCAAAAACAAGGAATTTTGTTGTAAGTACTAAAACACATTGTCCGTTTTTAATTTTTATTATAATAACAAATACATAAAGATTCAATATGTAGTACAAAGGTGTACATTAGTGGAAAATATAAAACTTTAGAGAATGAAAATCTATTCTTAGTGATATATTAAAATAAATGATTTCTTATAATAGTTTCCTATAGAGGTGTCTAATTTATTTAGATTTAAAATGTATCAATATTTATCATGATTATGACTATAATGTTGTAACAAAATATAACACTAGAACAAATATAGAAACTTGATCTCAAAATGTTTTTTTATTAACATGTCCCCTTATATTAAATCACAAATATATTATTTTATATAAAGCAATACTACACAAATTTATAAAATAACATAATAATGCCAAACTCATCCGAATACAATTGGCCCATTTTCATAATCAGACTCTCTTTCAAAAATATTGTCAAAAAATGTAAAAAAAAAACAAGAAAACTTAAAATATACGAGTGCAAAATAATAATGTTATGTATATAGATTATCAAAACAGGCCAATTAAATCTACTTTAACACAATACATACAGTGATATGTAACAATAAATAGTTTACATCTTTGGTTTTTAATTACAAATTGACAAATGCTGAAAACTTGTGTGAAATTATACTAAATACTTTTCCTTTTAAATACATAGAAAAAGCATAAGATAGTGGAAGTAAATGCTATATCTTATTAATTTCCTATTTGTCAAGATAATATCATTCAACATATGCAAATTAAAGATAAAAAAATTTAAGACTTAATATTATTCAAGAATTACTGTAATATTTGACAATAACCAACGATTTAAACCAAATCATCATATTTATACGTATTAGGTGTTTATAACAAAACATATTATGGGAAATGTTGAAGATGATTTTTAAAAAGTTTCCGGAAGACTATGGCATTTATAGTAAGAAATGATAGGCTTCGTAATTAGTTGAGTGAATGCAAGACTGTTAATTGTATATATTATCCTTCTTATTGTTAGTTTTACTAATCATAACATGTCAGAGTTAACATAAAGAGGGATCTGGTAAATTACCTTTATTATCTCGTATATTATTTATATGAGGGCAAGCATCTGTTAGTGTTTTAATTAAGTCATATCTTTTGTTCTGAATAGCTTTATGAAGTGCTGTCTGTCCATCAATATCTTGTTTGTCAACACGAGCTCCATTTTTTATAAGAAATTGTACTGTAGTTATCTTTCCTGAAATTAAATATACATATATATAAAATGGTAACCATAATTTGGCAGTATTCACACATATATACACATACAGTACCACTAAGACTATGTAACTTTAATATGTAAATTGTAATAACACTGAATATGTTTAGCACAATTATTTGTTGCATTAATAAAGTTGACATATTTAATAAGAAGAAAAAATACATTTTTTAAATTTCAATAAATATGTTGAAAAGAGTGCTTGGTATATAAGTAAGAAAAATAGTTACCTGCCGCTGCAGCTTTGTGTAGCGGTGTTGCCTTACCACTACGGGTTTCTGCATCTATGATTGCACCATTTCTTAACAGGATGTCACAAATATTGACATGTCCACCACGGGCTGCATAATGTAGTGGACTATAGCCAGCATTGTCCACTGTATTAACTATTTCTCGGGCTTCCCTAGCTTTATTTATCAACATACTAACTTTCTCTTCATCCCCACTAAAAGCTAATTATAAAATTTAATAATAATAACAGTAATGTTCTATACAAGAAATAGATATGGAATTAAAATTACCTGCATTCCATAATCCTCGTTCCCAATCCATTTCAGAAATAGTCTGACAAACAGAATTATTGGTATTTTTGACAGAACAGTTGGCATGATTACATTCAGTATTATGATCCATTATGACAAAATGAATTGAGTGATGTTTTAAAATGAAAAGAAGTTGATGAACAAATTAGATGTCTCTTTGTAATGTCCAAGTTATTTCTGTTTCTCCGGTGCTGGAAATAATCTTGTATCCCAACTGACCTAAGGCGTTGAGTGAATTGAGCACATTGGTTTTTATAGTGACACCATTCACAACTCCAACTCCTGAGCCGGGAAACTTGGAAGTTAATGCTTTTATTTCTTCTTGTCCTAGACCAAACACAGAGCTGTCATTGGCATACAAGGAACCTTTAACAGCAATATAAACTACACCATCTTCAGACAGAACATTACTCAAATTGGTTGTAGATGGACTCTGACTTCCTTTTGTATCCATTTTATAAAGAAAATGCACACAAAATAAAAATTTGTAAATAAGAATAAAATCTTAAACCTCGTCGTCTTTATTTGAGTGTTGATAATTGCTCAAGTGCATAGCCTCTTTACTGAAGTTAGTAATGTTGTCCTGTTCTACAACAATTGAAGGTTCTGGCTCAGAAAACTCTTTTCTCATAGTCCACATATACTCATTATAATCCTGCTTCACTGCTGTTGAGCTGGAGGCAACAACTTTGTAGCCCAATACCTGTAAAACAACAAGAATTAAATCACACATATTCTTTGTTACAGATAACTGTACTGTAGATATGTGAATCACTCACTTCTAGAGCACTGAGAATGACGCAAGGGTGTTGTAGATAAACGATGGTGGAGTCGTCGCAATATCCTCCACATGCGAATCTTTTTAATTGTTCTATATCTCCGGCTACGTACAAATGGTTTCAATATCAAAAACTAGACACTACTAATTGAAATATAACACGTAATAATCCTTAAAATGAGAACAGAGAAATGAAAACATATATTTACGTAGTTACAATAACGCTGACAAAGTCATTCAATTATTCTGTCTCTCATTTTTAGTATAATCAGATAAACACATATCTTTATCAACAACTACCTTTTAAGCCGGATACTAAAACTCTCCAAGGGTTTTTGTGCCCGTATGATGCTAGATTACCTCTAATCAAAATGTAGGGCATTGATTACGGATATTTTCACTTATTTTGTATAGGACAGAGAAGAGATTTTAAGAGTTTACTTACAACAAAATGAAAGAAAAAAACAATTTTAAATACGCACAATTGTATTAAAATCGAATCCTTGTTCTTATGCTTCTGATAATGACACTAATTATTTGATTACCAATATCGATATCGAAATTTCAAAACGTATTGCTGGGGGCTAGGGATGTGCATCATCATATTTTTATGAATGATTTCTCGATTTGCTCGTATTTGGAACATCGAAATCGTAGCTTAGGATATCATATCACATCGTACACTGGATAGAAAATCTAGAAGTAGGATTCACGAAAATAAATACAATAAACATGCTTTTATATATAATCATAGGTATGACAAATGCCCCGGTAGGTAAAATTGAAATATTTATTGCCAAGGTCATTGGTAAGAGTGCTTGGAATCAATACTTAATATTGTATGTACTGACGGCTTTACAGAAGAAACTCGATTCCACGGCTCGATTTAAATCGGTAGTCAGTTTCGTTATGTGTAGATTGGTATAATCGTTAATCGAATCTTCGAAAAAAAAGATTTTGTTTTCATATAATTGCAGGTTTTCATGATATAGTTCGACAAGAATTTCATGATAGTCGGAAAATATGAGAATTAACAATGTCATCCTAACTGTGTCTTATTTTGAGCAATGAACATCAGCTGCACGGCCTAAGTTGCCATTTTCATAATTTTGAAATTCCATAAACATTTCACGCACGATGTTATGACACATAGGTTAATTTGCTAATGTGTTTGGATCTATCAATTTTAAGGGTACGCGTCCATTGGCAGCGCCAAACGAACCACGCGCACGTATAAACTGATTTGCTTTATCTTGCGATGGGGGCTGCGCGGAGAATGGGCGCAGCGCTATGTCAAATCATATAAAGCAAACTAAAATCCGTTGCGGGCCGTGCGTGCGGTACGAAAAGCACGGATCACATTTAATCTCCATAACATAAAATGGCCATAAGATCCTTGTGGGACTATAGAAAATATTAGATGTTTTGTTCTTTTATTGAAAAAGAAATCTTTTCTCTTATGTGAATTTCACTGTTATATCTATCCATGTTTTAAACGACTACACTTAGATACTATACATAATGCGTGGGTGTTTCTGCTTTTGTTTTTGTTTTATTGATTGGCATAGTAAAAGCAAATGTTGGTGTAATTTAGTGTAATGAATCAAATAAAATCAAAAATTATCGGCCGTTATCGTGTGCCCGTAATTGACGCAATGAAATGTGAAAACAATAAGAGCTATAAAATGCAACAAATTGTCCATAAAACTAAATGCATTTCGTTAATATATCAAGCCCACTCAACAAACTAACAAGTATGCGATGTATTTATATCTACTCGGAACAGAAGCTCAGTTTTTAGCACTTGAGTTATTCTATTATACAGTGGAAATTAACACATAGGTTTAGGAATACAGGAAAAACGGATTTAACTGTTTTAAATACACATGTTTACGCTTCAATTTTTATGAAAAAATTAATACTCAAAGTACGTTTTAATTACTCGACGAACTCTCTTAATATCTTTGTAAATCTATAATAACATGTAGCTAGATTTCTTATAGCTCAGTGCTATAGGGTTGAATTCAATAAAGGTCCAATCGGACCCTTATTGAATTCCCTTTTCCTCTACGCCGTTCAGAAGTCTAGACGTATCATGAAAACTTTGTTAATTCTCGGCCCGAAACAATATTGCGAAAATACGCATATAAAACAAAAGGATTTAAAAGGGTTCCAGTCTATCTGAAGTCGGAATTTTCAATTAGGACACTTGTACATAAATTAGACCTAATCTGACGCATTCTTGTGATCGTTTTTTTATAAAACGACATAGTTCTAAAGGTTACGCGCCATTTTATTAACACTCTGGGCAATAACATTTTTTGCTCCGTCAACCTATGCTGTCATATCATTGTAATCAAGATTCGACGACAAAGTAATTGCCAGTCATCTTATGTCTAACATTTTACTCTGCTATTTTACTTATCTCAGCCGCTGAGTGATGTGACATCATCCTAACAGTTTGGAGTTAGGTCATATCACTATCATTTACTTTACATTTACTTTCTACTTAAAAAATATCAAAATGTTCAACAGATCTAGAAATCTGGAAAATGTATTTTTATCCGAGGAGTATAACGACAATTATGGCCCTTCCAGTGAATTTCAATAAAACAGATGTTTACTCAAACGCATAAAATATGAATATTATGTATTTGTAAGGGTTAAAAATTTAATAATTACAAGTTAGTAATTTCATCGTTTTGGATTTTCCTCGTACATAAAATCCTTCTCAATCCTCCTCAAATAAAATCATAATAAAGTAAAACTGTACCGCTTTTTTAGGTTAATTACTGGCTAAATGTAGTAATCAATTAAAATTAAAAAAAATCTATTCTAAAATCTGATCTAACGAGTAAATTAAATTTTAAAAAGTTTTAATATCACGTAACTAATTAAAAAAATGATCTTTACCAAGGTAGTCTGAAACAAACTTTTGCGTTATTAAGCCTTTTAATGCTTTGGCGAATCAAATGTTGAGAATTTGTTAGTTTAGAGGGTGGTAACAGATTAATATCATTAATCAAGCACGCGTTCTTCGAGTTCACTGTAAAAACGTATTATGAATTGTCTATTCTGGTCTACGTATTCTGGAGCGTTTATCAATAAAGCTAGGTAACGCAGGATGTCGGTGAAGTAAACATCTCAGATATTATTATATAATCTGTTATATTAATATTGGTGTCATAATGAACTTGTTCACAAAAAAAATATCTTGAAATTTAATATCGAGCTTTAATAGCCCGTTTTTAAAACGGTCTGTCAAAAATTATTTCCTCTTCTATTTGAGTTTATAATAAAGATAATTCAGAGTTTTTCAAAAATTCTTGCCTTATAAATAACGATAAGTCAGTTTAATGGCGCCGTGATGGAAGAATTAATTTTAAAATGAGTAGACGTTTAATAAAAAAAGTAGAGAATGTTTAATTTTACTGAGGATTTACTAAAATTCTTTCAGGGTAAGGCTTACAGTTACAATTTTAATTAACTCGTAGTAGGAAAACATTAAAGGTTTGTTTTTGGCAAATGTTTCCTGTCGGCAATGTCAAGCATGTCGATCGCGAAGTACTTTCGGCAGATTAGCGCGAGACAATGACAGATGCGTACGCTCCATTGAAAAGCCACTTTAAATATATGTTTCCTGACTCGAGTTTTTACATAAAAATTAATCTTCATGAAAAATATAGCATGTATTATGCTTACCGCTGGTTTCTGAGATCAAAATCTTTAGCGTATCGTCATCCCTGTCATTTTTGATAAAACAGAGGTAACAATATGTTTTATAAGGGGATTTTGGTCTAAGAAACACACGGTAAGTAATTTATCGGGTATATTTTTTATATTTTACGTAAAATATGACCAAATTAATAGGTCAGTTACTTTCTGATCCAGTATTGTGAAAAATAAACTTAAAAACAACACCAAGTAGTACAATTTTAAAAATATCAACTAAAACAATATCTACTAAAATATTTAAGCTTCGTTAATGACATAAGAAACGTAAGTATTTTGTTTTACTACCTTATTTGTTCTTTAGTAAAACAAATGAATGATTTCAAGATAATATTTTTAAAGAATATCCTACTTTCATTATACTAGTTTAATTTCTCTGGTATTTTCTAAGACTATAAATAAAGCGTGTAATAATTCCCCTGTGGTTTAATGTGTACATTAACCACCGTACATTCATGTAACTAGGTTTGGGTACACCCCTGAAAGGCTGCGCTTTCCTTCTTCAGTGTTAGTGTAGTCAGGTTGGCATACGGTCGCCGCTGACGTCGCGCCTCTCAAAGTACTTGCGAGTGATTTTCGTGTGAATTATATCGTTTGATGATAAACTAAGTTTGTTTTAAGTGATTTATTAAAATATTGGATTTAATTATTAGTGGATTAAGTGTTTATTTGACTAATATAAAGTTGTTGAGGTAAGGTGTTTTTAAAACAATGTGAATTATTTCAACTTGTATTGTTTGTTTTTATTTACACGTTTTTAACAAATGATATTAATTTAAGAATATTCAGTTCTAAATAATATTTGTATTTTTAAAATATAAGTTGTAAAAGGAAGCCTCAATAATCACAAACTATTATTTGGTTTTTCTTTTTCTATCGATCTTAAAGTTATCTGTTAATTAAATTCGTACAATTTTAATTAACTGTTATTTTACTTTAAAATAGTTATTTTATTTAATTAGTAATACATCTCAGCTTACTTTGATAGCGAAAGACGAAGACAAAAAAGCTTAAAATCTAAAATGTAAAGGAATTTTAGTTGTTACCAGTTATATTTAAAATTTCAGAAATTATTTTTTTTAAATTTGTATCAACGTCTGAAATAACCATTCATGGTTAACCGAAAACTGATATAATTCAAGATAAGTGTACGCGGTATGTATTTATCAAGACCAGGATCAGTCTCATTGCTACGGATAAAGGTGCTCTTTTATAACCCAAAAACCCTTAATATACTAACTAATACGTCTTTTTAATAACCAAAAGAATAACTAAATGACCTTCATTATAATATTACCTATAACAAAACAATGGCAATAGAGCATTTTTCTTAAAATTGGTTTAAATCTTAAATATATGTTTAGCAATTATACATTCCCTAATCAAATTAGGTATCATCTTACAAAACTGATTTGAAATTTAATCTTATGAATCTTGTGGTCGTAAATTTTTTGAACAATTTTACATCTTTTTTCATTAACGACTTCCACGGGGATATAAAAATGTTGGTGATAAAACTAAATTTGTGACATCAAAAGAAGTAATAAAATTAACATTTGCGGTGGTAGAAATAAAATTTGCGGTGTGTGAAATGATTAAGTTAACTTTTTAAATTTTATAATTCAATAATCTTTATTTTGATCTGAAGTACAATCTTACTGTGTTAAATTTAAAGTAGGCTAGGAACTGTGGAAATATTCTGGAACTCAGACATCTGGATCTAAAACATGCTTCATGTTATTTTTATAAAAATAAAAGTCCGTACTGCCAAAACGTTCAAGAAAATACATGAAAGCTATGTCTAGCATCTAGAAGCAACATTGACTATATTTTTAGTATTAAAATGCAATAATTAAATTCGACTACACTACGCCAGATGTGAGCATTTTAGTTTGATATAAATCTATTATCTAGCTCATATAAACAATAAAAATTTAAGAGCGATTTTCAGGGAAAATTGTATAACAGGTATTTGCTCCATCATTGGCGGTCATAACACGGAAAGTTACGATATTCCGCCAGCACACCGTTAACATCTAAAAGTAACTGTGTATCTTTTGTTTTGTATACATTAGTCATCACAAACTGAAAACGTAAAGTGTTACCAAGTCAATAATAGTAAGATGCGAAAGAGAGCAATTTGTAAATACCATGGTCTATAAGAATGACTGAAACAATGCAGTAGAAAAATCTACTTATAGTATTTAAACATAAATGTTCATATAACCGTAAAGTGGTGTTGAAATTTACTATAATACGTATGTCGATTTCTCCATCAATCACCGGGTAACCGCGGAAAATTGCAAATGGCATTTATCACATATGTACTTTTAAGCTTAATATTAATACATCAAAAATGTCCTGTCTGTGTTCATACGCGTTAATCTACGAAGTCGCCAAACTGAATTAAATACATTTTTATGACTTATATGATTAATTCCAGCAAGAAAGATATGATTATTCCGTATTTGACGTATGTTTTCTTCTACAATTTCTTTCTTTTAGGTTAATGTTGAAATTTATATAATAATAGCTTTTGCTCGCGACTCGGTCGCGCGGATTAAAGTAAAAACTTAATATGCGTTCTTCCAGACAATGTTCCACATCTGTGCATCATCTGAATCCGTTAAACTGTATTTGAGATACGAACATCCAACCGTCCACATAAACTTTCACAATTATAATATTGTAAGATGTTTCGTAGGAGTAAATTTCTATCAAAGTCATGCATTATTGATAGCTTCAGCTGATTGTTGTCGACAAAGGAAAGATCTCCGCCTCGCTATTGATTATTAACGATCAAACGTTTGAATTAAACTCGGAGAATCATTATTTAAACAGCCCTAATACAACATATCACCTCACACGCATGTCGGCGGCTACGACCTACAAGTTCGTTTTAACATCAACGGCCCCATCAAACACCGACCGAGGTGGCTAGTCCACAGAATGTTTTAGCCACCATTAGACCGTAGGTGACAAGGGTTTACTCTTAGCCTCTTAAGTTATTCATGTCGAATTTTATGTTTAAGCGGATTTCTTAGTTCTGTTGATAATATTCTTGTTTTTGTTTTAACACACGAATCCCACGGTTATGTTAAGTGACCCATAAACTTCCGCAAAATCGGAATAATTTCATGTTATTAGTGTCAGTGTCAGAGAAAATACAAAACAAACGGGGACGTATAATCATATTCAAATGAATTGTTGTTTACTTAGATTTAAGATGTAGTAATGATGTAAGCGGCAATCGATATTTTCTTTAGAGAATAAACCTTTTTAAGAAATCGTGACAATAAAATAGAAAGGTTTGTAGCCAAGAAAAAGCAATTCTCTAAGGTAAACCCGAAAGAACATTGAGCTTAATGAAAACTATCTAACAATATTGACTAGATGCTCGTTGTTGAGAACTTGAAAGCAGGTTTAAATTGAATTTGAGGTATAAAAGGATGAGTGTGATCGGAACTCTCAGTTTTTGGAAAATAGGAATATATTTTATTCATTTATTTATTCTATTTAAAAGATCTTAAATTCTATCATCACGACTGTCTTATTACAGTAGGAAATTAAGATACGATTAGACTACGACATACATTTCGACATAATTGTTCAATACCATCTATATAATTACACTTGTAGGTATGTATATATTTTAGACAGCGGCTGACGCGAGACTTTTTATTATGTCGCAATAAATTTTGCAATCAGAGACCCTATACACTGAGTGATCTCTGTATACTTTTGTATTCTAAACAGCCGACTTGAACAACTTTGAGGGGTGAGGTCGTTGAATTTCAATCAATTTCTTTCCTTCCCTAGAGTTCCCTAAAGTCATAGTTCCCTAAAGAGAGAGTCATAGGGATACCGGTTTTTTTTTTAATATTTTTGGTGATAAATTTTAATTTTAATATTTAGATTTTATTAAAAAACTTAAAGCTCTAAATCTTATTTTGCAGTTTAGTTCATCTGTGAAACCTTTTAATATGTAATGAAATGGCCACCAAACGGCAGGCTCTGGATAACTTTAGTAATAACGCAAGCTTATAAAGTTTTATATGAGTTTGGTTTAAGGATTGCAGCATAAGAGGGAAAGTAACATTTGTTACCTTCAGCAGTTACAAGTTAGTACATAAATCGACTGCGTCTGTGTACTTCTTAGTAGAAAGATAACCATTTTATAACTTTTATAACATACTTACACAAATATACCATAAATCTCGGATTCGCTTGACTTGATTCGAAGACAAATAAAAAGATTGTTTCAGGCTCAAACTCTCTCAGGCGTGTTATGAATACTCTATCAAAATTTTATAAATTTTTCTAATGGTTTAGGAATGCTTAAGCACAAGATCAAATAATGTTTTTTTACTTTATGTATTTATCATTGATTACAGTACTTTATAGAACATACAATGCCTTGCTTTTTTTATTAACTCTTAGTTATTTTATGTCATTTCTAAATTGGTTTCTTACAGGCGAAATTATTCGTAGTGAAACTATATTGCGACGTTTTCACGGAAAGCGTGGGTTGTCCACCGCCATAATATTGGCGGACTTTCCTGCCAATTCCATAAAAAAACGATTTAATGCTTCATTGAACCTATGACAAGTATGATTTTTTACGATTAAATTTATAACACAAATAAAATATATTCATTTGATTTTCGGGGAAAGTTTAATATTTAATATTATCAATGTTATAAATGCGAATGTTTGAATGTATGTTTGTTATATGTATGTATCAGAATGGCTGCATGTAACTTGCTGAAATTAAATTAATTAAGGCGTAGATAAAGAACAGAGACTAAAGAACATGTAGGCTACTAATTAGGTTTTTTAATATCTCGTGGACGGAGTCGCGGGCGTGATCTATTTTACTATATTATCATAAAATTTAAATGCAATGGCATAAACTAATAAATACTAGATAAAATTAGTAATATAAGAAACGAGTTAAGTTGGAAGTTATGACAATAACCATAGCCTGTTATATATTACACCCAACAAAAAGTTTTGTAAGCCGACTGATTAATATTATTAAAATTATTTACCACTCATAGATCATTATTAAATCACTCATCTGTAAAGAGTTCTTGATTGATCTAGATTTAATTACTTTATCATACTTAGTTGAATCAAAATAATTTAAAAGATCGCCAACTAAGATGATCAAGCAAATTAATAAAGCGTAGAGCTTGAAACATTATAATTCTAAAGTTTAGAGTTTGTTTAACAATTTATTTAGCTAAACCATATTCCCTAAAGTAAGTTAAACATTGAACGGTATTGGTGGAAATTTCCTTAGCTATCTATCTTTACAAATGAAAGATTAATTTCGTACTTTTGATCTATGAGTACGCGAGATCTTTTGCAATACAAATAAAGCGATATTGCATGTTTTTTTCAGGTAATTTAATGTTATTTATTTTCATAGTTAGGTGGCGCAGTGTGTTAAGCATTAGACTTGTAACCTACAGGTTCTAGGTTCAATTTCCAACGGGTGCATTATCATTTTCGAAATTCAAATGTACATTCTGTCATTCGAGTATATCATCTGACACCATTCATATAACAATATATTTAATATATTTTAGTAAATTATGCGTTTTTGAATATTTTATTTTATATCATAGATTTAAGACTATTCGTGAGATTCTTTGTAAGTTTATTATTTAAAATCTTTTTGTTGTAA